CTCATTGTATGAATCCTATCCTTAAATTAATATTACTAAATTTATGTTAAAGACCACCGTGTTATAAAATTAAAAAATATAATTAGACTATTTATTCTTAGGTTATATTAAGAAATACCTTTTATTTTTTTGACAAGAAATACTTATTGTGTTATCTTTTATTTTTTTTTAACAAGAAAAATATAATACTTGTTGATTGTCTCTTCTTTTTTTTTTGACAAAAAAAGAAGATGTTGTACTACATTTTTTTTTGCTTGTTGTAGTACTTTTTATTTTTTTTATCCTATGAGCTAGTACTAATTTTTCAATCCTAATTAACTAATTAATTAATTATTACTCATATAATGAAATAATACCATGATATAAAAGCTTAATAGAGTTTTTATGTTTTTTTGGTAAGTAAATTTAAATTTTTTTGGTGAAAGATATGGGTGATGGACACCTAATTATTATTTTTAATAATTTTTTTCTTTTTTTATCATCAAATTTCATTGTTACAATCGGACATACAACTTTCTTATTCATGACGGGCGTACACCGTCGTGCGTACATCATCGCGCGTACACCATCTCACTGCAATTTACCCCAAGCTAATAATATTTGCTAGAGTTTTTTCAACTCACAGAAATATCCCACATCGAAGCGATATGAGAAGAATGAATCTTATAAAAAAACCCAACGATGTTGTTGGGTTGAATGTTGTCTTGGCAACGTATTGCACGTTGAGACTTTTTAAGCTGGTAATCAAGTGACATTTGGCATTCACATTTGGCATTCACGGGGGGGGGGAGAGTAAGGTCACCTTCACTTGGCATTCAGGTGGGGGGAGTAAGGCCACGTAAACATTTGGCATTCACGTGGGGGCAGTAAGGCCTGGCCACGTAAACATTTGGCATTCACGTGGGGGGAGTAAGGCCACCTTCACTTGGCATTCACATGGGCGGAGTAAGGCCACGTAAGGTGGAGTGCCAGCAAAATTCACGTGGGGGGTGGGTGCATAAAAAGAAAACCGGATTGAAAAATAAAAAAGTAAGGAACCGTCGGTTTTACCGATACTGCATTTGGATCAATTATCACCGATTCCCGATCTGGATCGCCCGATTCCGGATCGGATCGACGATTTTTGAAACACTGAATGAGACCATTTACTTTTGATACAAGGAGGTCACAATAAATCTTGACCATTGAATGTAAAATTAGGTGGCTGCATTTATTTCATTGACCAAGCTCAAAGTTCAAAATAATTTTTGTCGAACTTTGTGACACACCCAAGCTATCAGATTTCACATCGGATGGTTGTAAGTAATTTGTGACCTCCCTATTCCAAAGGTAAATGGTCTCATTGTATACAACTACATTTGTTTAATGACAAAGACTTTTAAATCATAAGACATCCATGGTACGTAACAAAATTTATGATCTAAATTACAAAAGAAATAAAATAATGTCTTTGTAGATCATTACAAAATAGATGGTTGAGAGCATATCTGATTATCTTACTTTTAGTGACATGCGTCCCAAAACAACTTCACATGTGGGTTGGGGATTTGATACCTTGTGTCCTCCCTTGATCACAGTTTTTTATTTGCCCATGGTACTTGTTTGGGTATAATTTTGACCTACGCTGGCTTTGCTTTAATATATCTTTGAGAAAAACCTTACTCCTTAATATATTCTTTTTTTTTTTACTTAGGTTATGTATGATAGATACTACACCTGGACTAAAGTGTCAGACTTTCATCAATTTGAGTTAACACTAGGGTACACTCACAAAGTATTGGGGATGGCATTTAATATCTGACCTCCTAGTCCGAATATAGTTCTAAAATGTGTATTAACTTTGATTTTCCTATTATAAGACTCACCATTGAATTTGCATCTATTACGAGATTATCTGGTGAATCTGCTCCTCATGCCACTAAGGCTCTGGTGGATTGTCGTCGTCATCATCATCATCATAGCCTTTTTCCAATTAATTGGGGTCGGCTACATGAATCTTGGTCCGTCATTCTGCTCTGTCTAAGGCCATACCTTCAGCGAGGCCATAAGTCCTCATATCTCTTCGAACCACTTTCAACCACGTCATTTTGGGTCTACCCCTTGCCCTTTTCTATCCTTCCACGTCTTAACAGGTGTTTTATTGGGGCATACATGGCTAGCCCACCTAAGTCTACACTCTCTCATCTTATCGCCTATTGGTACCACATTTAAACTTTTCTGAATGGATTCATTTTGGATTTTATATCTTTTTGTCTTACCACTCATCTATCTCAACATTCTCATCTCTGCTACACTCATTTTATGAGCATATTGTTTTTTGTCCGTCCAACATTCTGCCCTATAAAGCAAAACTGGTCTCACAGTTGTTCTATAGAACTTACCCTCCGGCTTCATTGGTATGCGGTAATCACATAAAATTTTAATTGCACATCTCCACTTCGCCCACCCAGCTCTAATGCTATATATGATATTCTATTTCACACTTTTTAATATGTAAACCATCTACTTTCAAATATTATTATTGATAAAATATCCTTAATTGTTACTCACATCTTCTAAAGCATAGAGCTATGAAAGTTTGTGAACACATTCTGGAAGACTACATACATTAAGCTCGTCGAAAGGATAAAACCTCTCATCCAAGTCATTCCTGACAGAAGACACTATATATTTCTAGAATGGCGTGCCTGATAAATATGTTGCAGCACAAGATCAAAATGAGATGAATACTCTAGAATCCACAACTAATCATGTAAGACCACGTATCATCATCAAAGTAACATATGATCATTGCTTTACACATTTTATTGTAAAAACTAGACAAGATCGAGAGCCAATAATCTTAGTGTTCGACAACTATAAATAATTGTATATCAAAGATATCAAGATATGAAAGAAGAAGAGAGATAGATCGAGTGACAATAGTCACAGAGAGATAACAGGGCATACCAAGATATTTATATGAGCATACTATTGTATATTGGTATGAACAAATTCATATAAATAGGCATAGCCGCAAGACTTACTTACAGGTACTTTCCTTTATATTTCTCTCCAATGAATTCATTAATGATTAATTAAACAGAGGGATTTCACAACTTTGTTGTATGAGACAGTTAATGTAATTAACAAGGCATTCACGGATACCTTGGAATTCTTCGATCCCCAAAAATAAGATAAAGCTATGTTCATAGATATACCCTAACAGAGTGATTGTTGAAATTTTTTTGAGTTTGTTTTGTGCCTTATTGCACATTTTAACTTAAAATCACCCTAACAGTACTATGGTGTAAAAGACCAATCTATGCCTCCTTTGCTCACTCATGTACACACTCATGCTATTTACTCAATATAATGTCATTCAAGTCCCTCCAGATAAGGTCCGTCCTTTGATACATTAGATTGAGCAAAAAAGATTCGCATCAGTACGTCTCCTTATTATGCACTGATAAAAAATACGAAAAATATCTCTAAAGACTCTATTTTTAAGTTTTATTTCTCAATAGACCCAAGGTTCAAAATATATCTGACGGGAGATTCCATCTATTATATCTTCTATCCCCTGGACTAACTTTACCCATTTTAGCCCTCATCTTTTTAGCTTGGAAAAAAACACAAGAACAGAGATAAGGAGTTTAGAAAGGCATATCTTTTAAACATTTTTTTGGCTAAAAAGATGGGGTTAAAGTAGGTAAAGTTAGTAGAGAGGATTAGAAGATATAATAGATGGAATCTTTGTGCCCCCAGATCTATTTTGAAACTTTGTTTCTATTGAAAAATGAATCGTACAAGCAAACTCTACAGAGATATTTTCTTAAAAAAAATATATATTAAAAAAAAATCAAAAAATAAGATGGCCAAAGTACCACTCAAACTTGGAGGGCTATTGTGGTTATTTATTTTATTTTATTTATTTTATTTATTTTTTATATATGTGTCCAAATGAGGTGCATGCATATTCCAAATTTCATCCCAATATGATATTGAGAAAAAAATAAGAGTGGACGAATATAACGAGAACATTTTTTAAATGACCTAATAATTGTTATCATAGTTCACTTAAAAGGCTATCATATCAACCGTTTGCTATTGTTCGGGCAATTGATAGCATGTCCAAGTATTTTAAATTTTTTTTATGTACATAATAATGAGCTGAAATTTTTGGCATCCATTTTTCTAACTCACACAAACTTTCAAAAAATATAAAATAAATAATTTGTTGAAATAACCAAAATGCCCTTAAACATTTGAGGGGTACTTTTGTTATTTTTAATTTTCATATTTTTTTTAATTATGTTCCACAGTGAAGCACAACCAAAATTCAGTTGGATGTGAGCTTTATAAACTAAATTAAAAATAAAAATTATATAGGTACAAATTTAAAAATGATGCTGCAGGCCATCAAAACCATTTCCAAACCTCAATTTTCCATGGGGACATGGAGCTTACAGTATCCACTTTTTGTGAAAATTGAAAGTTTCATATGTGCCTACCGCAGCACATCCTATTATTAAACACAGAAGTGCTACAGAAACCTAAAACTTCTGATTCCATGAGCAATAAGTTTCAGTAATCAAACACGCCAGGTGGTTTATGTTATGATATGCTTTCTCTATCATTCCCCTTTTCTATTGCAGGTCACTCACATGTGCATTTACAGAGAGAGAGAGAGAAGGGGGGTGACGGGTTCAAATTCGTGAACTCCTTCCTTTTATTCCTCAAAACAAGGGCAGGATATATGGCTTTACTTCCCAAGGTGAAATTTTCGTGGTCTCTCTCCCCAAAGCCAAATTATATGGAACCGTTAAAACACAAGCGTTGTAGAGAGAATTAGGGATCTCACGCAGGCCCACGATTCATATGACCCCAAATGCCTCCTTTTAAACCAAAAGGGAGTCCTGTCAACCCCTTGAAACTCCTATAAAAACAAGAATCAACCCAACTAAGTTTACACCATTGAGAAGAGAGAACCAAGATTGGGTGGACCCTCGGTTGTAAAGATGGGTTTATTGGGAATGGTGCTTGTGATCTTGATTTCCACTAACCTAGAGTTGGGTTTGGCATGGGTCCCTGGCAAAGCAATGTGTAGGGTGAAGGAGTTCAAGAGCTGCTACTTATACGAACACAATTGCCCTAGTGAATGCCCCTACTATTGTAATGTTGATTGTGCATCTTGCAAGCCAGTTTGCAGTTAAGTTGCACAGGATATTATCTGTCGATAATAATCTTTCGGATCGGGTCCAGATCCAGATCCAAACCGAAAAGTATCCATCAGATCTAGATTTGGATCTGGATCCAGATCCAATTGGATCCAAATTCTCAGTCCTAACTATTTGCCATTGATTTAGTTAGGGAAAGGTATTTTGTAGGACCGCGGATTTATAAATTTGCTCCCCAAATCTTTTTAGAAAATATAGTTTCAGTATCAAAAATATTGCAAATCGATAATCTCAACCTCAGCCAATTATGGATATGAGAAACATTCATATATTTCAAGCCCTCAGTAACATATATCATGGACCATCTTTTCAAGTTTTTATAGATCTGCACCAATTAATTTTGCCTGATTCTATCTATTTTTCTATATTGTAGCTTCTTGAGCAAGTACAGTAGATAGCATCTCGACCGTCCATTTCCAAACCAATGGTGATAGATGATAGTGTGACATTTTCAGTTATTAACATGTCGCTAGTTACCGGTCTTGGGATCGTGGAACTATGATATATATAATCATATTTACCATTTGAATGTCATTTTTTGTAATAATTAAATTAGGTTTTTTAACTTCAATGAAATTTAAATAGGTTATAAAAATTAGAAATCATATTTTCGGCATGGAATTCGGTTGCATATTATATTTTTAGAAGTTGTTTAAGAAGGGCGAGGACCTTAAACTTTCTCTTAACCCATCTCAAACGCTGGTAAATGGGGTGGGTTTTATTAAGCAGGCAGCCAAACGTAAAACTTTTCTAAAACTTCTCATGAATCCGAAATATAAGATAACTTACTAGAATTTGTGACAACGACTTCAATTAGTTGGAAAAAGGTTTGATGATGATGATTATTATCTTCCACCGCTCTATGTGATTTCAAGTTCTATTTCCTAATTAGAATAAGAAAATCTTAATTAGCTTAGTACTTGAGACACAGATATCTCACGCCCATGTAGTCTGGCTGTTTCAAACACAAACATGAGTTTTTTTTTTTTGTTGAGTTTTTCAAAAAACAATTCTTGTAATAATTAAAATTTGGATCTCCTAAAGGTTGCAACTTTCCGGGCGCGGTGTGCCAGGACCCTCGCTTTGTGGGCGGCGATGGCGTGGCCTTCTACTTCCACGGCAAAAAGGGCCACAACTTCTGCCTTCTCTCCGACCCCGACCTCCACATCAATGCCCACTTCATCGGCAAATCCAAGCCCTCCATGAAACGTGACTTCACATGGATCCAATCCATTGCGATCCTATTCGGGCCCCACCGCCTCTTCATAGGGGCCCACAAAGCATCCACATGGGATGAGTCCCTTGACCACCTAATCATCTTCCATGATAAAGACCGGATCCGACTCGAGCCCAAAGTGGGCTCTGCATGGCAAGCTCAGGTGCACCCAGGCTTGAAACTCACTCGAACACGACCAACCAATGAGGTGGTAGCTGAGGCCATTGGAAAGTTCAAGATAACAGCAAGGGTGGTGCCTATAACCATGAAAGAGAGCAGGATTCATGGATACAATATAACAGAGGAGGATTGCTTTGCCCATTTGGAACTTGGGTTTAAGTTTTATGGGCTAAGTGACAATGTTAGTGGTGTCCTAGGCCAAACTTACAGGGAAGGATACAGGACCAGGGTGAAGATAGGTGCTTCCATGTCTATTATGGGTGGGGACCGTGAGTTCGCGACTTCAAACGTTTTCGCACCCGATTGTGCAGTGGCTCGGTTCGATAATCACATGGCAGCTCGGGGCATGGGCTCAGAGGGTGGGCTTTGACATTTCAAAAAAGATCAAAGGATGGAGATAGTATGTGGTTTGCTTTTAAGATATGAAATAACATAAGCTAAGGGTCGCTAGATCTTGTGGGTACAATGGTATGTTTCATCGTAGCAGCATCGTTATGTGATAAACAAATAAGAATAACTTTATAAACAGCATGTCCCTTGTTTGTCTCTATAAATAAAATTGGAAAGAAACAGTATGTCCCTTGTTTTTATAATTTCTCTTACATATTGGCTATTTTATGATCATAAACCATCCAAAATTACAATTCAAGCATTAAAAAACCTTTACATTGTTCGTCTCGACTTGAACATGATGGTTGTAAAAACAAATTAGGATTTCAAGCTCTAAAAATAGTGTATATTGTAACAAATTATCTAGAGCATCCATTTCACCTTAAAAAAAGCGTTAGCATATTTGCAAGATCTGTACCATTTTTTTAGTTTCAAATTTTATTGTTGGTGTTGAAAATTGATTTTAGAGCTGACATGGAGATTTTTGTTGCCGAAAGTACTTTTCAGACAAGAATTTGAGATGAGGCTTAATTTTGATTTCATAAAGCCTATGCCTTATAGAAACTCCATCCTTTTATGATCCCCACTTTATGTAAATCAAAGAAATGGAAGAGGTTTTAATCTCAACTATTAAATTTTGCTAAACGATTATATGTTCCCACCAGAGCTAGCTGAAAATTGCCTTCTCCGGTAAAAACTCACCTAGAAGTAATTTTTGGACCATAAATTTAGGGTATCTAACCTACTCATGCTGGCCGCCAATCCGGGAGAAACAAAAAAACAGAAGAAGAAGAAGAAAAAAAACAAAAAAGTTGTTGTCGGATCCTAAACCTGCCTAAGGAAATTTCTTTTTCAACTGAATTAGTGAGGGGTTTGAGCAGGTACCTCACCCTTTCTATTAATGTGAATTATATAAAAGTAAGGACCTAGTCTCATCAAGGGCCAAAATTTAATTATCATTTTTTTTTATTTTAATTCAGTTTTACCATCATTTTTATAAAGAAAAGTACAAATAACAAAACTAATTTTGAACAAAAAATAATTTAATAGTTATAAGAGGTGGTGAAAGTTCCCTATAGGCCTCCCACTGTAGCACTTCCTATTATCAAATGCGAAAGTGCTATAGACACCTAAAACTTTTGATATCTAGAAATTGGAAGTTTCATACATGACTCCTACAGTAGCACTGCTTATTATCAAGCACAAAAGTGCTACTAAAACCTAAAACTGTTGATCACTAGACCCGGAAGTTCCGGCAATCAAGCATGCCACATGAAAAAGTTTATATAAAGTTGCAACCTCATACTATAGAAGTAAGGTGCATCTCAAAAATCCAGATAAAAAAGAGTGCTCCAAATTGGGAAAAAGTTCCAATTGACTATTAGCCATGATATATATATATATATGAACTAATTTTATAGCGGGGACGGATTTCAATCTATCATAAGATTTTCGATATTGGTACTATATCTTTGAGCTAAATTTAGTAAGTGTGTCTTACTTGTATGATATAAAATGGGCACCTTCTACAAACCTCACCCTTTATCTTGTGGTCTATCTCCTTCCCCTTTTCTGTTCCAGATACCACATGTACACACTCACCAGAGTGAGAGAGAGAGAACCACATGTACACACTCACGAGAGAGAGAGAAAAGGTCAACTTCATATTAAGTTTTTTAACTTATGATGAAATTTAAGAAGCGTATAACAGTTAGAAATCCTATTTTGGCATGGAAGATAGGCACCTCTCTATGTGATTTCTGCTGGTGTGTAAAAACTTTATATTAAATGGTGGAGTAAATTCTCAAATATTTAATATATATATTCACTCACATATTTTTAACAATGATATCTTATGCCCTAATATTTTCCTCTATTTTTTGGATTTTCTTGAAATATCTCCAATCATAAATCAATTTTTCTTGAAATATCTCCAACCATAAATCAATTCTTGTTAAAATTAGGGAGACTATGCACACAGACATTAAGAAGAGAAAAGAGATAACACAAGATGAGATAACACAAGATTTATGTGGTTCAGGCCGAAGCCTTACGTCATGAATCCAAAGCCCTAACTGGTTACATCTTCACTATTTGGATAAAAGATTACACAAATACGTGTCTTTATATATAGAGGACAATCACAATGAATCTTGGAGATAAAGGAAAATAATATGAAGACATATAGAGAACAATCACAATGAATCTTGGAGATAGAGTAAAATAATATGAGGCTTATCACCAATAATAATTTGATTTGGTGTATCTTCAACACTCCCCCTCAAGTTGGTCTATCTTCAACACTCCCTCTCAAGTTGGTGCACAGAGTGAAGTGAAGTGCCCAACTTGCTAAACTGAAATTGGAACTGGAAGGTTTTGTTGCTCGGCTCTTTCACGCGGATGTTTTCTTTTATGCGACATGGAAGTTTTCTTTTGCATGGCCAAACTGAAATTGGAACTTAAAGGTTTTTTTGCTTGGCTCGGAGGTTTTCTTTTGCACGGAAAAAGGGCGTTGCTCGGCTCTTTCAAGCAAATGTTTTCTTTTATGTGGCGCGGAGGTTTTCTTTTCCACGGCACTGGGGCAGAGGTTTTCTTTTGCACGGCACTGAGGCGGAGCTGGGTCGGAGGTTTTCTTTCCTCAAGTTAGTGAGAAGTGAAGTTTCCTCAAGTTGGTGACGGCACTAGGGCGGAGGTTTTCTTTCCTCAAGTTGGTGTAAGGAGTGAAGTGAAGTGCCCAACTTGCCAAACTGAAATTGGAACTGGAAGGTTTTTTTGCTCGGCTCTTTCAAGCGGATGTTTTCTTTTATGCGAACTGAAAGGTTTTTGCTCAGCTCTTTCAAGCGGATGTTTTATTTTATGTGACGTAGAGGTTTTCTTTTGCACGGCACTGGGGCTGAGGTTTTCTTTTGCACGGC